AGCCTGAAGGCCCCTCGCAGACACCACATGAAAGCACGAGGCAGGTGAAACAAAGCATGAGGGCAGTCTGCGGCACTGAAGGAAAAACTCCCTTAAAATAACATTTTCTAAGAATTAGCCTCACACTTTCCCATCGTTTTTAACTTACAAAAACGTTTGCTGATACCACCAATAACCAACATATTTCTTCACCCAGATTTCCCAAATCCAAAGACTATGTTACCCACAATGCAGTGCTCCAAATCAGGGAATCAACATGTGCAATCCTGGTATCCTTGGGCCTCGATTGCATGCCATCCATTGTCCATTCCATGTCTTCCCTCCTCTAGGATTTGATCCCAGCTCATTAGTTGGTGTCCTTTGGTTGTCTCCCTATTTCTTCTCAGAATGGCTCCTGGCTTTGTCACTTATCACCCTGACCCCTTTGAAGAGAACTTCAGTTTGGTGTTTGAAAAGTATTCTTCAGTTTAGGTTTGAGTGATGCTCCCTGATGAAATGCGGGCTGTACACTTTGGGAAAGATCACCAGGAAGAACTGGTCCTCAGCACAACCCTCCAGGAGACACTGGAGGTGTCTCACACTGCTGGTGACTTACACCTGGTGGTAAGGATCCCTGGTGATGCAGTGGGTTAAGCATCAGACTGAGTCAAGGAGGCCTGCGGTTCAAAACCACCAGCTTCTCAGTGGGGGGTGGAGGGTGGGGTGGGAAGCAATCCACTTCCATAAAGATGCACAGCTCTGGGGACCCCTGGGTCCCTGTGAGTTGGCATGGACTCAGCGGCTGGGTGTCTGGTCACCAGTGACTTGGAGGACGAGGGAGCATGCTTTGTGCTGGGCTGGATCACACAGTGCTGTAGAGCTCATGGGTGTGTTCTGATAACTGGATGGGTTTCTAGAGGCAGGTTTACCAGGAAGCCAATGAAGCTTGAAAGGGAGCCCTCTAAATGAGGCTTCAGCCACGTTCCCATGAAGAAGCCCACCAGCCTGTGCCATCCAGGATTGTAAGTAATAGAACCCAAATCCTGATGAGGGCACAGTATTAGAGCTTAAATTGGGAACACCCGGTTTGTAGAAAGCCATGGGTGATAGTGGAAGCCCCAAGTCCATTGGCAGTGTCCACATATGCATGAGGTCTCTGACCATATTCCAGGGCTGTGACTAGCCTTACTACTAGACAGCGCACAGCGCGAAGTGCGTTGTGACGGATGGACTTAGTTCAAATGTAACACCTTCTCATTTGATCTTACATTGGACTCATTTTAAAGTTGAGTTTTTAATATTTTCCAATTCTTTTTGATTGAAATTTGCCTGTGTTTTATTTGTTCATTGTTGTTGAGGGTTTTTTTGGTTTTGCTTCCTTTTTGTATGTTTTCCTTTCTAGGGAGTCTGGCGCAGGTGAATCTATGGAGACAGGAAGGGGATGAGTTTCCCAAAGGCATGATGGCAGCAGAGGTCAGGGGAAATGGACGGTCAACAACAGTGAGCACAAACGTGGAAAAAATGTTTTAAACTTGATTGTGGTGATGATTGCTATACTCTTTTTTCTTGTCTTTTAACTTGGAATTTTATGATATACATAAATGCCAATATGAGAATAAGGATTTCTAAGGCTTGTAAATTATCTCTAGTGGAAAGGATTCCAAAGGAGTCCAAAATTAATATGGACCCACAAAGGACCAAGCAAGGTGTGGTCCAGCTGTTCCTTAAGAAAACTGCCAATTTGCTACATTCAATACTGACTATCATTTTTTTTTCAGAGACTGCCTTACCTGATGCAATTTCCAATGCTTGCCTATACCTGAGAAATTCATACGATTTTATTAAAATATGTTTTTATTAAACCGTGATGCAAAATCCAGTATCCATGAAGGGACCGGAAGACAGACAACTTTTATTGCTCCTAGCCAATTTCACATTTCCCCAATTATATTCTTTGGAGATTTGGAAGTACGTATTATAAATGTTTAGGTTGCAAAAACAAGAAGAGAAAAATGCCAAAGACCATGGGAAATTCTACCAGTAAACCCCACACACAATCCTGGTGTATTCTGTGCAATACTGCAAAAGTATTTTCTGATGATTATGGAGTAAACTTGTCTAAGAGGAGTCTAGGAAGGTACTAAAACGAAGTGCAGAATAGAAAGATGATCCCCCACCCACCCACCCCCTTGTTGGGACAGATGGGGCCCCTAATGCTCTGGCTGCATTTCAAGCCCTTGGAGCTTTCCACCGGGCTCTAAGCACAAACCAGGGTGCTGGCGGCTGCCTTGCGGGAGCCCCGTTGGAAAGCCCTGAAGGAAGACAAGACAGGCTGGGAAGGGGTGGGGAAGAGGGGTTTGCTCCTTAGGCAAGGGGACAGGACCAACACATGTCGTGGCCCAAGGTCATAGAAGGAGGACAAAAGCTCATTCAGAGGGGGGCTGTTTGAAACACTGTTGGTCTGTCCTTCCATCAGAGATAAAATGGACATTTTGCCCCATGTTCCCAGGCAAAGTCTGCAGAAAGCAGCCACCAGCAAGTTTATCAATTTCTTCGTGTTCCCAGTCTCATCCTCCCCTCCTGCCTATGAATAACTTGAAGTGCAAATGTTTCTTTGTATGCCTGAGAAGTGAGCTGCCTTTGTGGAAATGCTGGCAGGGGCACCCTGGCTACGTGATCCAAAGAGTATATAAACTCGCCTCTACGACAGCTCTGGACTCTGCAGCGTCTATGCTGCATAGACCACGGCGCCTAACTTTTGTCTGTCTCTTTTGTATATAAGTTTCCTCTTCTTTACTCCTCTGGAATCTGATTGATCCCTGAGATAAGAGCTAGTCTCTATCTTGGCTCCGGGTCCTGCGGTGAAAGGTAGATCTGGTAAGTTTAAGGGAAAATATAATTGCTCAGGGGAAAGAAACGTGCGTGCGTGCGTGCGTGGCCTCCAAGCCCCCAGGAAGGAGCTCCTAGGGTAAGGCTTTGGGGACGTTTTTTGGGCATGTTGTTGGGTGACGGGGGCGGGAAGAGCAGGCTAGAGGTGTAACGCCACCTTCTTTCTCCCTCTTTTGACTAGAAAAACAGCTGTGCAGCGCCAAGTTAAAAACCTTCCTCTTTTTTTCCTTTCACGGTTCAGGAGTATAATAATCAGTCCTCGTTAGAAGGGCCGGGTACAGTGAAGAAACTTTAAGAAGCATTTTTCACTGGCCGGCGTAGCGAACAGGAGATTCAGTCCCTGGCTATGATCCGTAAAAAGTTGTAAGAGTTGCTCCTGCGGCTGAGAGCTGCGACACAGGGGTGTGTGACAGACGAAGCTGATGGAACAGGTGCCGTGCGTCTGAATCATTGCGTAGATCTGTTCTTTTTATTCAGTTTGCTTGAATTGTCCATACGGAGAGCGGTTTGAAAACAGACTGTATACTTGTAGGAAAGGGCACGTATGCTGTGATGGTTTGTTTTTTGTAAGTGCCAGTTCAAGTCGTTTCAGGCTGCTCTACACAGGAGTAAAGAAGTGCTAAGATAAAGTTATGCGTAATTCAGTAGCAAATTAAATTTAAATATTTTTGAAAAGCGACGATGAAACATAAAGATCTTCTCTAATAGACGTTTTAAAACCAATATTGGGGTGGGGGTGGGATTACAGAGATTGATTATTAAAAGCTTCCAAACTAGAGTCTGTCTGCCCAGGGAAAAAGCAGGTCCCTGTTATCAGCAGTTGCACTGCATGCTAGAGAATTGGCCTTACGCCCGGACTAAGGAGAAAAATATGAACAAGAGGAGAGGCTTGGAAACTTGCCTTGTGTGCTGCTTTACTGTCAAAACCATTTATTTGCAGTAAATAATGGCCAACTTCATAGTTTTTCTTTTAAATTGGTGAGGGATTTGAAACAGGTAGTAAGTAGCCTGCTCTGGCATTATTTTCTTTCTTGTATTAATTGTGATAGAATGTCCAGCTGAGGAGAGACAGTTCATTTTTACTAGTTGCATGAAAGCAGGGGGGTACCATGCGGGCAGGGAGAAAACCTTGCGTTCGATTTGATTCATTGCCAGTCACCTGTGTACTTTTCTCTGCTGCTGTTCGCTTGGCAGAATTCAACCCAGCCTGGGAGCAGCGGCAGCAACGCGGTGGTCCCAGACGTAAGATGGCCAGAACCAAGCAGACCTCGCGCAAGTTAACTGCTGGGAAGGCTCCACGTGAGCAGCCAGTCGCCAAGCCGGTCCGCCAGCGCGCCTCCTCCAAGGGCGGGATCAAGAAGCCGCACCGGTACCGGCCCGGCACGGTGGCGCTGCGCGAGATCCGCCGCTACCAGAAGTCCACCGAGCTGCTCATCAGAAAGCTGCCCTTCCAGAGGCTGGTGAAGGAGATCGCGCAGGACTTGAAGATGGGCTTGAGGTTCCAGAGCGCGGCCATCGGCGCCCTGCAGGAGGCCAGCGAAGCCTACCTGGTGGGCTTGTTTGAAGACACCAATCTGTGCGCCATCCACGCCAAGAGAGTCACCATTATGCCCAAAGACATGCAGCTGGCTCGCCGCATACGGGGCGGGCCATCTTAAGCGGGAGGCCCCTTTTCCGCTGTTTTGCAGTAAATGCTGTACAATGCTTTGATTTCACGCGTGGCCTTTGTAGTAAGACGTAGTTGATCAGGTGCTGTGTGTGTGCATTGTTCTTTCCATCTTTCCCTCAGGATGAAGGCAGAAAGTGACAGCTCACAGCCCGCAGGGGGGTGGGCCCTGCTGCTCAGGAGGGAGGCGTTGCTGTCCAACAGAAGGGATGGGTACAACTTGCTGCTTCTCAGGAGGCATGTTTCTGTATGGGGATGACTTGTTGGGAAGCTAGAATCGACAATGAATGTGACAGGGCCCTTTTGCAATAAAACTGGTTAGTACTTTATCCCAGCGTTTTCACAATCGGGGTTGTTAAGTTTGACTACACATCACTCTCATAGAATGTGGGCTTTTTCAAAGGTTAAGAAACTCATGTCTTAACCACAGTGCAACTTACAGTTTCCTTGAGAATAAATAAACCTGGCATCTATAGAATAAACTGTATGCATTTATAATAGCCGTTCTGTATATTTCAGTGTCAACATCTTTAAATAAACATTTGACATCACACGTGCTGGGGAGTCTGGTCATTCAGGTGTGTATCATTGAGAGTCCAGTTGGTTTAGCCCCTAAGGAGCGTGTGCCTGTCTCCATAGTCGTGAGGTGCTCTGCCACATTCTACCTGGCATAAGTCCTCATTCTACTACGTGTTTGCCAACCCTGACTGTATGTTGCTGGCCATGTTGACAGTGCTTGTTCTGTCATGTGAAGTAAGTGCAGATCACTCTTATTGGGCTTACATTCCCCATCCCCCATTACTACAAATCGCTCAACGGCATTTGCCAGGCCTGTGGTTTTTTTCACCAATGACAGCCAGTGGTGACCAATTGTGTTAGGCAGTGTTCTCTAGAGCAACAAAACCAGGCCACTTATGATTACTCATATACATAAGAGGGTAGGTTTATACAGCGAGAAGAAATTGAACAGTTAATTAGTCCTCGCAGCGTTACAGAGGGTTCAGTTCAACTCACGTTTGTGGAATCGTTAATAAACTGGAATTTCTTCAACTCAAGTGGGCTGTAGGGTCCAAGGTCAAGGAATTAGACAGCAGTTTTCCCTGGGGGAAGGCAAGTGGAGTCTGCCCACAGGTAGCAAAGGCAGGGCTGGGTCACCAACACTCAGTAGTTCTGGAGCTTGAAGAAACAGGGCCCGATGGGATATCCAACATAAGCAATGCAAGGTGAATCCACCAGCCTAAGGCTTTCAGGACATGATCCATGGATTGCCTTAGGCCACAGGTGGCGTAGCTCCCAGGTTGAATCAGAGAAATAGCTAAAGCAGCAGCACACTCCAGCATGTTCCATTCACCAGAGATCAGTTTATAATGGCCACATGGCTCCTTGTGTAAATTCCTGTGCTTTCCAGCATCTGTCATGTAAGGAATGGAAGATAAATGTCTACTTCTTTACCTTTGCTGTCTGAGTAATGTGACAATATGTGACTTGTCTTTTCTTCTCTACCAAATGTTATCATGAGTGTAGAGCCATCTTCAGTATAAAAACAAATAGCCCAGAGAACAATCTCTGTGAAGGTAACTTCAAAGTAAACCGAGCAGTTCATTGTGTGACAGTGACTCAATTCCCACTCCTAGCCTCCAAGGCAACAGGGAAGAGAA